GTAATGAATGTACAAATGTGCTTTACACAATTGATGTGTGTATGGATTGTGATGAGTTGTATGAGCCCCTAATAAAATGATTTTTTTTAAAGTGCAAAGTTTTGTTTTTAAAAACTCTTTATTGTGAATTGGGTCAAGATTTATAGAACAGATCGTCAGTTTTACATTAAAAAATTCATACACGGTTTACTTCATCTTGTTGCTGGGAACAAGTGCCTGGGATTGACTGTCGCTGTTTTAGCCAAAGAGAGGGACCAGGTTGATTCAAGAAAATCCAACTGCTATTCTGCAAGTGCGAGGCAGAAGTTAACAGTGGGGTTTACCACTTCTAAAATGTTTCAAAAATCCTGTGAAAATCTGCAAATTATATACCCCAAACTCTGTGACAAAAGGCAGGTTTTGCAACGATCACAGGAAACAATGATCTGTACATACATATTTTGAGGTCAACCCACTATCCCCGGAAGCACTATACTCCACTGTTTATTTAAATGACGGCTGCTTTATGCCTGGCTACTTAATGCAATGGTCTTGTTACCAAGTTCCTCAATCAAAAACCCATCTCTACAGATTATGCTTAAAAGGAATTTTTACTGCAAGGGAGGGGCTGTTACATTTTGGATTTCCAACAATTATATTTTAAGTTGCTTTGTTTCAAGTTCTTTGATTAACAGTCGGCTAACTTTCACCCCCTTTATCAATCTCATTCATTGCCATTCCCTCCACGGAGCACCACTGCGTGGCTTCGGCCGGTGTTTCCTACAACCGTGCGTTCTTTCCCAAACCCTTTGAATTGTGTCCTTGGTAAACGCTGCCTTTTTTATTTCACTTGCCCGATGCTTTCAGGGTGTGTTTACCTCACATGTGTTACTGTTTCCCTCCCCACCCGACACCCGACTACTGGTTGAGGGACCCAACCATCGACTGGTTGCAAACTTGAGTCACAGGAGTGAAACCTTTCGGTGTTTGGTGACACTATCTGGGAGGCGCTCCCGGGGGAGGGGCGGGGGGCGCTCCCAGAGCCTTCCGGGGCCCACTCACCCGCGTCGTGCCCTCGGGGTGACCGCGGCCTCTATCGTCATCATCATCATCGCCGCCCCTCCTACCCGGTCCAAGCGGTCCGCCCCGCGGCCCCGCGAACCAGGGGAGCCTCACCGCCCAACTCCCTCCGCAACCCGACGCCTCAGAGGCGCGCAGCCGCCGGCACAGCGGCGCCAGGGCGGGCGCACTGGAAATGCGTCACGAGCACGAGGAACTACATTTCCCAGCCACCCCGAGAGCGGGGCGGGTGACGCAGTCTGCGTGCGCGGCTGGTTGGGTGACTTCTGCAAGGACTTAGGCGCTCAGGCCAGGCGGAGTTGAGGACTGGGCTTGGAGCGAGGGCGTCTGCGGAGTTGGCTTGTGGGGCGCCGGGTTTTGGGGGGTTCCAGGCTCATCTTCACGTATTTCTAGAACTTGCTTGGCTTATTCCCGGCTCTTCATTGATCAGGATTGAGACTATAAAGGAGGCCGTTTTCTCCCGCTGGGTCTACAGTGGGTTATTGTCCATTTACTGGACAATCGTTAATTCAAGTGTCTATTCTTCAAGGGACAGGCAAACCTCAGTATTACAGGTTTGGTTACAGATCATGCTATAACGTGTTTCGTGAATTTTGTTTCCTGTGCATACTCCTTAGCAACTGTCCAAAAGCAAGAGAAATGGTTCCCCTTCCTGCCCTAACAACCCCCCACACTCCCTTCAAGACCTGTGTCACTGACCAACCCCCTCCCTAAAACGGAGAGAGACTTTACTGATTCAGCAACACAGCAACATGCAAGTCACTAGGTATGGCAAGAGTGGTGGCTTGGGGTGGTACCACGCAAATACGTTGTTGGAAACCTTTATAAGAGGGTCAATCAGTTTTGCTGTCCTGCTAGGCTAAAAAAACGAGCTATCCCAGCAGTCTGAACAGACCTCAGGGCCATCCAGAAAGGAATTAGGAGTGAAGTGCTATCAAAAGGCCAGGAGTTCTAGACCCAGGAGATGGCAGCGATGTGCAGAGAAAAGGTGGCAGAGACACTTGGAGCAGCAGGGAGCAGAAAAGATCAGAAGACAATATGGTGGGCTTTCTTAGTGCCTTCAGGTAAGCACATTTTATCAGTTGACCTAAAGCTAGAGAACGGTTGTGTACCACTTCCCTGAGCAGGGCAGAGGGGGAGGACAAGAGCTAGAGGCCTATGGGCACCACCGAGAAGCAACTGTTTACACTGAAGACCTCTATCTTCACTTGTAACCCATTCCTTCCCTAATAAACCCCTTGACTCCCTGCCACCGAAGCCATTGCCAGGTCAGTGACCCTATAGGACAGGGCAGAACTGCCTCTCTGGGTTTCTGACACTAACTCTTCACAGGAGTAGAAAGCACTCGCTCTCCCAAAATCAAACCGTAATGTTGACTGTATGGTCTATGATTTCTGTGTGGCCCATAGAACAAACTATGAATGCAGCAGTGTCATGGGAGGGGCAAATGATGTCGGAATTCGTGAGAAGGTTGGAGAGGAGGCATGCCTGACCTCGGCCTCACAGGTATCAGTCCTGGACTGATGATACTGGTGGTGATCATCCTCCACTTTCTTCATCTTGGAGGTCAGAAGCCACACTACATCATTTTTACATTTGGATTTCACTAAAGCCATCACTTTTGCCATCTCTGAATCATATGCAGTTTAGTGCTTTTCTGTAAATCAACCTATTTTTTCCATCAGCATTTCACAAGCAATTGAAAGTGAAATCACCAGTTTATTTGCAAGCTGTGTCTGTGGTGTATCTTAAAATGTGTAGACTGATAGTCATGTGCCACTTAAAAGTGCTCACAGAAATGACACTTAGGGCACAGTGAGCCAGTGTCCATCCATGTACGTGATGTGTTATTCATCCCAGGGGGGTTCAAAAGCTTATGCCACAATGCAAACCCACTACCCATAAACAAAACCCACTGCTGTCAAGTTGACTCTGACTCGCAGCAACCCTGTAGGACAGACTAGAATCGACTAGAACCACTCATGGGAGCAGCTGCCATATCTTCCTCCTGGGGAACCGCTGGTTGGTTCCAACAAGCAACCTATGACTTGGCGGCCGAGTATGTAATTCTTGTTACCAGGGCTCCTCATCTATAAAAATGGGTATATGCACAATGAAGTCTAGCTGTTATCATCCTCATTCTTTCATTTTCTAAATATTTTATGATTATGATTCTAGAAGTGAACTTTCGGGGTATGTACTTCTCCAAGCCCTGGTGGCACAGTGGCTAAGTCTGCTAACTGCAAGATCTGTGGTTCAAACCCACCAGTTCTTCTGTGGGAAAAAGATGTGGCAGTCTGCTTATAAAGGTTATAGTCTCGGAAATCCTCTGGGACTGTGCTCCTTTGTCACTCAGGGTCAGTGGGAGTTTGAATTGACTCGATGGCCAGGAGTTTGGAGTCTATGCTTTCTAAGGCCTTGCATACACTTACCCAAAAGACCTGGACAGTTTAACCTGAAGAAAGTCAGAGTGTGCGATCGAAGAGTCTGCTGTAATTGATCACAGATGTCAGTCCCCAAATCCCATCCCTTTAAACACAGCTTATTCTAAATGCCAAATAATTACTACAAGAATAGGTGAATGGGAAAAAACACCACCACAGATCCTTGTCTGTATGCGTAAATATTTTATCATAGATACAATGGTCAGTACAGATTGGCTTCGGTCCTATAAAAAAAATAAACAAATTAATCACTGACAGTGCCTCAACTGACTGGAAAATCAATCTTTTTTCCTAAGGACTACATTCATTAGCAGCCCCGCCTCACCAGGCTCCTGACTGATGTGCTATGCCCCTGGCGGTCCTTTTGGGAGCGTGCTCACTCACACCTCCTTTTCACATTCAGTCTGGAATACCAAGCAGGCCCGTGCACACTACATTGCAGAAGGAGGTAAGAAGGCAAAGCCTGTCCCTGACTGCTCAATGTTTACGAGTGAAGCAGTTTCTTCCTGGCTCTCTTCTTGCTCACCACCTTGTTGTGCGTCCTCTGGTGCCCGATGAGGTGCGAGCTCTGGTTGAAGGCCCGTCCACACTTCTTACACACGTAGGGACGCTCCCCAGTGTGAGTCCTCTGATGCCTGACCAAGTGAGAGCTCTGGCGAAAAGCTTTCCCACAGTCCCCACATGGGTACGGCTTGGCGCCAGTGTGAGTCCTCAGGTGCTGGAAGATGGCTGAGCGGTCATTGAAGGCTCGCCCACACTCTTGGCACTTGAATGGCTTCTCTCCAGTGTGAATCCTCTGATGCTGTGTGAGCGAGGAGCTCTGGATGAACGATTTCCCACATTCCTGGCATACAAAGGGCCTATGCCCTATGTGGATTTTCTTATGTACTGAAAAGTATTTCGGGTTCCGGAGCGTTTTGCCACATTCGCTGCACCGGCAATGTGGGCTTTCCTTGTGGATTCTCGTGAATGTGATCTGCGGCACATTCTGGCGATGGGATGTCCCGCAACCGCCGTTTTCCTTGGCTTTTCCTTGCTCAAAGTTCTTCGGAGGCACTTTAACACGTAGCTTGTGCTGCTTTGTGCTTTTAACCTGGGACCCATTTTTGCGTAAGGGTTTTTTCTTAATGGGAGGTTTGGGGTCAGAAACTGGGCCTGTGCGGAGATTGGTGTTCACACTGGACTGGAGCTGCTCCAAGTTCTCCTCCTGAGGTTGGGCCTCTTCCTGAGCAAGCCCTGTTTGTTTCGGCACCATGTCCTGGACTCCTGGGCCCTCGCCTTGCAAGACGTCTCCTGAAGAGGAGGGCCTGAGGTCACTCCTTGAGGATTCGTCCTCATTCAGGCCGAGGGCTGGTTCTTTCTCGGAAACATCAGCCACCGGCGATAACTCTTTACTTTCGAGTGTCGTTTCCCACCCTGAAAGAGATCCAAGAGGTGTGGACACCACAGTCAGAGGCAGAACAGAGGATCTGACAGCATGGCAGTGTAATCACGCAAGCACAAATTGGGGGATCACAGGCTATGGGTTCCACTGAGGGTGACTACAGAGTTCTGGGGCTAGACAGTTGTGATGGCAAAACAACACTGAAGATGCACTCTGACACAGCAAACGGGTCCCTGGTCAGAAACTGGAAATTTGGTTATGTGCATTGTACCACCTCAAAGCAGTTCGAACCCAGCAGCTTCTCTGTGGCAGGCAGGTGTGGCAGGCAGGTGTGGCAGTCGGAGTCCACAGATTTACTGCCTTGGAAACCCTAGGGATACTAAATTGGAATCCACAGCAGTGGCTTAAAAAAAACATACACCACAAAGTACTAAAAACAACAACAACAAACCCCAGCTACCAACTGCCTCATGTGCTCGCTAAAGCTGGGCGATGAAAGGCAGACCAAAGACGCTGTCCTCGGAGTAAGTGCCGGATCCAATAGGAAAGATGTCCCTTAACTGTGCCCCGAATGTCTGCAAACGAGCAAACCTGGCTGTGAAGAAATCCAGCCACAACGCGGCTTAGAATCAGTCCTGCTGAGGCTCTGTCTCGCGTACTTTGGACATGGTACCAGGAGGAACCAGTCCACAGAGAAGGACATGGTGCCTGGTGAATGTAAAGTCAATGAAAAAGAGGAAGACCCTACATGATTTGGAACAGCACAGTGGGCTCAAATGTGGCAAAACTGTAAGGATGGCGCAGGATGGGGCGACGTTCTATTCTGTTGTACACAGGGCCACTACGAGTGGAAGCCGCCTACCTTACCACCACCAGCAAAAACAGCAACGAAAACACCCTCTCCAAGTTGGGACTGGAAAGCACTCAACGGTAAAGACGGGGCAGTAAGGTGGTGACCAACAGGATGCAGCTGTGAGTAGGCACAGCACAGGCAACTGGGCTGCTGGACTGAAGTTTGAGTGCACATAAAAGTTACATGTACACCGAAATGCAGTCTATTAAATGTGTGACAGAATTATGAACAATTCTGAAATACTGTGTGAATTATCAAAGTGTGACAGAGACATAACGTGAGCACAAGCCATTGGGAAATGGTGCCGACAGATTTACTCGATGCACACTTCGATGCAATTGCCACAAATCTGCTATTTCTACCTACAAAACATAATTCAACAAGGAAACACGGTATTGTTATCATGTCTACGTCAGACGGAGGGTTGACAATGGCATCTAAGATACCCGCACATGGGAGCATGGATGGCCCACAGATCTGGGGCTGGTGCTAACCCAAGCTCGGCTGAGGGCAAACAGGATGAGAACCTACACACAGGAAGTCCCGGGTGGCTGGCGGAACACGGGAAGCTGAGCAAGGAAGGGGCTAGCTGGGGATGGATGATTGTTTCTGGCTGAAAATGGCCATTCCTAGTGCAAGCTGTCTCATGGCGGGGCTGCAATCAGTGTCACAAAACAAAATGCGCATAACTGTTGAATGGAACACCAGCTTGCTCTGTAAACTTTCCCAGAGTCCCACACAGAAAAGGGCAATTAAAAGAAAGGCAGGCCAATGTACAAAGTATGACCTCAGCAGGGAACTGCCCAGGCCTCCTTGCTGGGTGCCCAGAGCACCCTGAGGAATACAGACACTCAGGGTACAGAGACAGGGGACGACGGAGACTCAGAGCTGCTCCTCCACCTTAGTCCCCTCCTCCCTGATCCCATTCATAAAGTGGGACATGGGTTATCCAAAGCCCAAGAAAGTGCTGGCAGAGGTAGGGCAGCTCCATCCCAAGGAGCTGTGGCAGCCCGTGCTGTCTGGAGCCCTGTCAACAGGCCAGGGATGTGTGACGGACCCCCAAGGGCACACTCAGGTCTTACCCACAGAGACCAGGTTCCCAAAGGTCTCCAGCATCACGTCACGGTACTCTGTCCTCTGTGTCGGGCCCAGCAGCCTCCACTCCTCCCGGCTGAAGTCCACTGCCACATCCTGGAAGGTCACCGCCTCCTGTAACAGCACCCACACGCTCCTTCAGCCCAGCCCTTGTGCCTCAGTGGGAAGATCGGGGAGCTGTCCTGATAATGCTTGCTGCACTGAGCAGAGACAACATCTTGTGGCCCGAGAGACAACCTTGTGCTTCCGATAAAACCAGTCTGGGTCTCAAGTTGAGAAGCATAGCCCCAAAAGAGAATTAAGTTTACATGTGGATTTAAAGTCCAGCTATGCCACTTGCTTGGTGCACAGGCAGGCGGACTGATCAACGTTCCTATGGAAAGGGCCTTCCCCGCGCACCTGTCGTGCAGGTTCAATAGTGACTTTGGAATGAACAACCCGCTGCCATCAAGGTATGACTCATAGCACCCTACAGGACACTGAAGAAATGTCCCCACGGTTTCCAGGACAGGAGCATCCTTCTCCTTCAGAGCAGCTGGGAGTTCAGGCCACTAACTTTTTGGTTAACAGCTGAGCGATTTAGCCACTGACCACCAGAGCTCCTTTTTAGGAACATAAGCTGGTACTAATCTTGTCCACAAACACCTGGAAAACACCCCGATTACCATAACATGACATACAGTGTCTGGGGTGGAGGGAAGGTGGGCTGCAGGGCCCTGAGCCGCTGCAGGATCCAGCAGTGAGCACAGTGCCCCGCCCCTCTCCTTGTGGCACCTCTCCTCTCGCCTCTTCTGTCCCTTCTCTCACTTTGCTGCCCCACCTGCTGTGCTTCGGTGGGCACTGTGGGCCGCTCTGCTCCTCCATCTGGAGGCAGGGCTGCTTGTCCCGGCCTCCTCTGACTGGCTCCACCCCCTTTCAGACCCACCCCAGTACAAACCCCACTCCACCTCAACCAGCGCTTCCTTCCCTTCCTTCCCAAGCCACATCTCCACCCAGCTCCTGCCGCCTGTGTGGATCTGTGGCCTGTCCTCTGTGGGGGGGAGGGGGGATGATGGGAGGCATTTTGCTCCCATGGGACAGCACCATTTGTGGAGACAAGAGCTCAGAAACCAGCTCTGGGGAGACAGCTTCGTATCAGTGGACAACACCTGGGCCCATCCCTGCCTGAAGCTACCCAGCAGGGCTCACTGCACACACACTCCTTGCAACAGAGGAGGTTTGACAAATGCCACACACGTGCCACACCTCATCTTGTTACACTCCCTTTTTCACTCCACATGGAGAACTTCAAACATATGCAAACAGACCCCGCAAAGGAAAGCCCCACCCGGGCCCTAAACTGTGCTCCCTAACTTGTCCACTAACCCTCACCCCAGGTCCAATTCCCCCAACACCCTAAATGCGAACCTTAGACCACAAACCGCAGGTCCATAATTTTTCTTCTTATTCTCCAGATCCCCAATCGTACCCCTATACTTCAACCCTAAAGCTTAAAAGCTGTAAGGCTGTTAAAAAAAACACCGGGGGTCACTGGAGTTCTCGCCCGCTTAACCTCCCCAGCACCTGAGGGTCCCAGCATCTCCTAGACACCACTGCTCCTCAGCCCCTGCCCCACGAGTACCATGCCCCTCTGTGCTTTCTCCCAAGACCGCTACAGCCTGCTCTCCTGGAAACACCTGGTGCTGTGTGCTGTGGTCCCTAAGCCCCTGGCGCAAGGAGGGGACCACCTGTCTCTGTCTCTTCTATCTGAGCCACCCAAGCAGAACCTTGGGTCCAGAACATTCCCTGACAAAGCTGGGTTTTCAGACTCTCCTTGCCTGTATGTGTGCATAATACCACTGAATGATGTATTGTTATGATTTGTAAAAGTCCCCCCAATAAAATGATTTTTTAAAAAGTCCCCTTAAACTAAAAAAAAAAATCCTAAATGCTAACTCTGAATCCTAGCCCTTGGCTCAACCTGAGCCCACACTCCCGTCTTACCCCCACTCCTCCACGGGTTATCTGCAGAAAACCCTGACTCGGCAGCCCTTCACACCCAGTCTGTTTCTCAGCCCAGCAAGGAGGCACCTGCGGTCTCTCCATCTCCCCAGTCAACTAACAGCACGTGTCCCTCCTCCCTCCCTCTCTCTCTTATTCCCCAAGTCCAGCAAGCCTGGGATAGAGGGGTACCTTGTGTCTGGGCACACTTCTTGGGGAGCTCCTAGGGCAAAGGGGTGCCTTGGGGCTGGCCACGCTGCAAGGGGAGCAGGAGGGCAATGATCATGCTCACCTCTGGTGGCTCCTTGGCTGAAGAATCGGCCACTTCCTCCTCCTCCTCCTGCTTGTCAGTGTTCTCCAGAGACGAGGCAGGCTCCTGGGCCGGCAGAGCTGAGGGGCAGGGACAGGTGTAAGGCAAAGCTGGGTCCGGATGCTACCTCCACCAATACCACCCAGGTCTCTATCTCCCTGGTGCTTAGTCAGGGTGAGGGGCACCCCTGTCTCACTGGGACCCTGAGGCGTTGGCACAAACCTTCATCATGCTGTTGCCCCAAATCTCTGCACCCACTGTTATCAAGTGCCTCATCTCCCCACCCCCGCTGGCCTGGCCGCCTTCTCCTCCAACTCATGCGTGCCACGCAGTCCACAGATGTCTTACAAGGCAGACCTAAATCCACCTTGGAAGTACGGCTCCTTAGACTCGAGGGTGTGAGACTGTCCCACATACTTTGGATATGCTATCAGGAGGGGCCAGTCCCTCAAAAAGGGCAGAGGGGCAGCAAAAAGGAAAGACCCTCACGGAGAGGGACGGACACAGTGGCGTGGCACCCACCGTGAGAACAGCACAAGAGCTAGCACCACTTTGCTCTGCGGCCCGGGGGCAGCCGACAGGATGGCCCCCACAACAGAGACTCCCTGGCACGGAGTCCATTCTGACACAGGACAAAGCAGAACCGCCCGTCAGGGTTCCAGGGCGGTCACCTTGTACATACTGCAGGCCCGTGCACTGTTCTGCTCTTGTGTGCACAGGGCCGCTATGGGTCAGACCGACTCTTTGGCACTTCACAGCCACAACAATCTTGGGGGAAGGAGGCTGTCTCATTTTCCTCCCACAGAGAAGCTGGTGGGCTTGAAGCACAGACTCTGCTGAGCAATCCAGCGCTTATCCCACTGCGTTACCAGGGAGCCCACAGCACATTAACGGCTGTGTGAGTCTTCAACACACCAGGCAGATGGTTCCACAAGCCTTTAGAATGCAGAGATCCTTTCCCGTGGCTGTAGAATTACATGCAAATCCTCACAGGGGCTCCCAGGAGTATGCCAGCCCTGCCCCCTGGGCACAAGCAAGACTGGAAACACACTGGTTGTCTGGGGGCTAGGGCTCGGGCCGCCACACACCCTCCTCTGCATTTCTGAGTGAGCATTCCCTCTGCGGCCCTGCTCAGATGATACCACCCTTGCTGGTCCCACTTCTTGCCCCAGCTAAGTTCTACTGGAACGCTAATGCTGACTACAGCAGCTTGCCCTCCCACCAGGCCCTCCCACCTGTGTATTTATCAAAAAGCCCCCTTTCTGGCTGTACCCCAGCCCCTGAAAACACACGGATCCCTTTCTTAATTATTTTATGTACAAAACCAGCAGAACTACAACGAAAGAAGTCAAAACAAAACCCTTTGCTTCTGGTGGATCCCGAGAGGGTCTCGGCAAGCCCGCGTTGCAGGGTGGAGCTGCTCAGAGGAAGTCTCATGGCTGTAATAACTTTCATGGAAGCTGAGTGCCAGGCCTTCCCCTGAAGCACAGGGATGGGTGCCAACCGTGCACTCCAACCAGAGACCTGCCGAGATCCTGTCATGGACGGGCACGCCACATCCACGTAACTACCCCTGGGTTTTCCACCCACTCAGGGCGAGGCAGGCCAACCCATCTCAAAGGGGTGACAGACCAGAACTCTCTCCGTGGAAGTGCCCTGGAAGGCGAAGGGAGGTAGTAGTGGCCCCTGCTCCAGGGCCCCAGCCCTAAACCTGGGGCAAAGGAGCCCTCGTGGCTCAGCTCTTGCTGCTACCCTGTGGGAGGGAGAAAGGTGGAGGTCTGTTTTTGTGACGATAACAGCCTGGGGGAACACAGGGGGGCAGTTCCACTGAACCACTGGGGTTCAGTCCACAAAAGCAGTGGGTTTCGGAACTAGCTGCGGTTACCGTCCCATGTGGAGGTACTGTTCCATACATGAGGCAGAACTTGTGTAGAGTGTGTCCTGAGTAACTGTCTTCTAACCTTTGAGACAAGGAATAAACAAGCAGAGACGAAGGAAAGCAGGTACCACAGCACATAGACCTCCAAGCAACCAAGACATAGAAGCTAAAGAAAGATAAGGCCCTTCCTGACAGGGAGGGAATGCCTTCCCTAGAGCTGACAGCCTGAACCCCAACTTCCGGTGTCCCAAATGACAAGAGATACAGGTGTTTGTTCAAGTGGTGCAACAGGGGCATTTCTGTCCTAGTCGGACTACATAACCAAGACACCGTGGAACAGGCCTGAGAATGTTCCTTTCCAGTACATGGGTGCCAGGACAAGCCCTTCACAGGGTAGTGTGGGCAATCAGAGCTCTGAGGGGATGCCTGAGGGATGTAGATGCCCTTGGCCTTGGTGGAGTGGGCTGCTGTTTTCTCCCCTGGACCTAGGAAGACGACTTCTCTGCCCACATGGCATCTTCTAGGAGGCCGAGGAGGCTGCCCCAGCTGAGCCCCAGCCACCACACACACCCACCTTCTTCTGAGGATATCCAGGTCACGACCTCCACCAGGGCCTCGGCCTCCTGACAGTCCGCTGGGTGCTGCGACTCCACCCAGGCCCTGAGCTTTCTGGGCAGGGAGCCCAGGAACTGCTCCAGCACCAGCAGCTCCAGCATCTGCTCTTTGGAGCGCACCTCAGGCCGCAGCCACTGCCGGCACAGCTTGCGAAGCTGGGCCAGGGCTGGCCGGGGGCCTGTGGCCACTTGATAGCGGAACTGCCGGAATCTCTGACGAGCAGCCTCGGGGTCTGCTGAATGCTCGCCAGGCTGAGCAGCAGGCTCCCCGGGGAGCTCCGAGATTAGGCCCTCACTCTCGGCATAGATGGCTCGAATCTGGGTGTGGTGGACATGGGTCACCTCCTGGGTTGACGTGGGGACCTCAGGGCCCGATGAACCTGATGAACTTAAGCCCAGCTGTCCAGCTGGCTCCCGGGGTGGCTCTGAGCGTAGGCTCCCCTCCTCGGTAGAGAGGGCACGGGTCTGGGTGGTGCACGTTAACTCCTGGCTCAGTGTGGGTACCTCAGGGTCCAATGAACCTGGGGAATGTACGCCCACCTCTCCAACAGGCCCCCCAGGCAGCTCTGAGCTTACGCCCTCATTCTCGGCATAGAGGGCCCAGATCTGAGCATTGCGGGAGCGGGCCACCTCCTGGTTCAGCGTGAGCACCTCCACGACCGCGATCTTCATCTGGGGGTTCACATCCCTGCCCACCACAGGGAGGGCGTCCTGTTGAGGTTCCAGCTTAGCCACAGGACACTCTGGAAGTCAAAAAGAGGAGCAAGACAGATGGCCAGTCAGCACCGACCAACCCACGGTGCAATACCACTTCACATCCCCTTACTGTCAGGTACCCCAGTGGACGAAGAGAACTGCCCCCCAGGGTTTCCCTGGCTGCCAGCTGTAAGGGAAGGAGGTCCCAGGGAGCAAACAGCTTATGTGGACTGCTAACCAAAAGGCTCCGCGGGAGGGAAAGCCTGGTGATCTCTTCCTGTCAAGGTCACAGTTCCGGAAGTTCTTCGGGGCTCCATGGCACCAAACCACCACCACCGCCATGAGAGCACATTGTCGGGCGAGGAGTCAGAATCGACTCAGTGGCAGAGTTTGGGTTTTGGTGGTTTCTCTAGATAAGAGGCTAGGTTTGAATCACTCATTTTTCGGTTAGCAGCCAAATGCTTAACTGAGCACCTTCATGGTTTCAATCCGCTCACCTTTTGGTCAGCAGCTCAGTGTATAAGGCTTTTCCTCACAACCACTGGAGTAGCTATTGAAGCCCTGGAGGCATAATGGTTCCAGTGGGCTGCTGACAGGTCGGTAGTTCTAAACCACCAGCTGCTCTGCAGAAGAAAGACAAAGCTGTCTACCCCCTAAACAGTTAGTTTTGGAAACTCATGGGGACGGTTCTACTGTTCTTCAGGGTCACTAAGAGTTGGCATCGACTCAGTGGCAGTGAGCTTAGAGTTGCTATAATCAAGATGGTCAATAATATTGTTTGGTTGGGATGTGGAGAAACTGGACCTCTCTAATGCTGTTGGTGGGATTTAAAATCCTATAGCTGCTTTATTAAGTTAAAGATAGTTAAGGCAATGCTGAACCTCCAGAGGAAACACAATGAGCAAAGCTCATCCGCCCGAGTTGAAAAATTTATGGACAAGAAGTTATCATTGAAATTAAATGGTGGCAGGCATGTCCAAGGGATACTTCGGGGACTTGATCCCTTTATGAATCTGTGATAGATGAATGTGTAGAGATGGCAACTAGTGGACAACTGAACAATATTGGAATGGTGGTAATAAAGAGGCAATAGTATCATGTTAGAAGCCTTGAGACAAGTATAATAGCTATATTACATCAGTTGTTTCTATGCACCCCGCTTCCCAAAGGACCTGTTTTACTACAGTGTTAAAATGAGACTATGTATACTTTTCATGTTCAGTTTTTTTTGTTAAATAAGCTTTTGTAATAGTCACACACAAAAAATGTTAAACATAGTTACCATTTGACCCAGCAAGGAGCGGGTCCTAGATTTAAACGCCAAAGTACTGAAAAGAACCATCCACAAACAACAACAAAAAAGTGAACATGAATGTTTACAGCAACACTACGCATTGAGTTGCTAATCACATGGTCAACAGTTCGAAACCACCGCCTGCTCCACGGGAGAAAGATGAGGCTCTCTATTCCCCTATTCCCACAGTTAGCTTCAGAACCCAAAGGGGCAGATCTATCGTACTACTTGGGTCACTTGAGTCAAAATTGACATGAAGGCAGCGAGTTTGGTTTTGTATGCACAATAGTGAAAGGAAACAATCTAAATGTTTATCAACTGAAAGATGGTTAAGTGTTTTTGTGATATCCACCCTTAGGAGAAATGTTCAGCCATGAGAAATAAGTAAGTGTGAATAATATATTTTGCACCACCGATGAACCTGGAAGGGAAGGCCACAGGTTGTATGCTGGCGTTTATATAAAAAGTCGTGTGGTCAGATCTGCAGTTAGACAGCTTAGCTAGGGTGCACAACCTGTGACTATACTAACCCTACTGAATGTATCAGTTAGGGTAAAAAAATATAGAATGTAAATATAACTTGTGAAAAATTAGAGGAAATGGCAGCAGGCGTTCAAAAGAGACCTCCGCTTGGAGTTCTAAAGGGAAAACAACCTGTTCCTGCTTCAAGGGGGCCAAGGACAGCAATGTTTAGGCAAGGCAGCCTGAAGTGTCCACAACAGCACATCAGGTGAAACTGAACACTAAAATCCACTGCTATCGAGTCCATGCTGTCTCATAGTGACCCTATGTGGCAGAAGGGAACTGCTCACTGGGGTTTCCAAGAACATAAATCTTTACCAAAGCAGAAAAGCCTCCTCTTTGTCCTGCAGAGGAGCTGGTGGGCTTGAACTGCTGACAGTGAAGTTAGCAGCCCAATTTGTAACCACTAGGGCTCCTAACAGAACACAAGGACAAGTGAAATGCAAAGGACAAAGCATAGAGCAATAGTAAGCCAGAAAGCTACCTAAAATCTCAAGAAGACATGTTAATTTGAAACTAAAAAAAGCATTAAAACACATACATGCTGAATCAAAATAAACGTAAATAACCATAATTTATAATTTACTTCCTGTAAGATTTATGTTTTGCAAACCAAACAAACAAAAGCGGTTAACTGCGTGACTGGCTGGCATCAAAGGCATCCCTTCTTTAGCACCTTTGCCTAGAAAAGAACGTGAGGGCATGGCCTCAAAGCACTAGCAATGTGTGCACTGCTGTTTCCACGGGGTCGATGCCTTTGTGTTGATGGCGTTCTTCAGAGGCAGACAGACACACACGAAATGGGCAATGGCCACAGCACCCACACCACAAAACTGTGACCCCGACCCTGATGACAATCAACCCAAGAAACTGAACCACCTCTACAGCCACCAGCTGAGGGCAGTCAGCGACATCCCCACTCCCTACACACACAATTTTATTTTCTTTGCCTGTTTCCAACTCAGGACTCACGAATCTAAGACCAGAATGGTTCTAAATCACTCCTGCGAGCTGTCTTCCATTTTGTTGGTCTCCAACATCCAACCCGAACTCATTTTCCTTCTTGTCACCCACTCCCTGCCCAACACAAGGGACCTTGGCGGATTCCCTTGCCATACAAAAGATAGCTGGGCAAATAGCCTCTGTATTCTTGAGATGGTGTCTTATTCACCACCAGCCCCACCGCCCCCCATCCCGATCCTGATCCGAGGTGGCGTAAACGTGAAACAAGGGTGGTGTCAAAACATGGCTGGTGAACACACAAACATTACCGTGAATGTGGCAATAATGTAGGATACATGGGACTGCAGTGTAGTAGTTTTGGGGGCGTTAAGTGGAAAGAAGCTCAAGTTTGTAACGTGTAACTAACGCCAGTTCCGTTTGAGACTGAAAAAAAGAACGTTGATAAAGGGCCGTGCCTGTTGGTCTCCGGAGTCCGCACCCTTCCTGCACCTGTGACACACCTGTTAACGTGAGCACTCGCTCACAGGTGCACTCCAGAGAAAATGACTACGCCGGGCCTTTGAGTTATCAGCGCGGCTCAGCTTCCCGGCCGTGGCCTGCTTCCGGTCAGACCCGGAAGTGGAGCCTTGGCTCCGGAAGGCCGCCGCACTACAACTCCCAGTAGGCTCCGCGAGCTGCACTTCCGGCGCCGCCATCTCGAGCCCGCTCCCAGTCTAGTTCCTCTGCCAAGCGGGGCTGCTTTCGCCCTCACCTCCTCCCGCCCGCTCGCGCCGGAGCTCCCCACACACCTTCCCGACCTGCGGGCCCGCCTTGCATCGCCCTCCGGGCCCGCAGCTGACCGTATCCCGCCTCCGTGGCTCCGCGCGTGGACTGGTTTAACCGCTCGGCGAGCACGGCACTTCGCCGGCGCGTTCAAGGAGCGAAGTGAGTCACCCGGAGGGCGGCGACGGCCGCGGGCTAGACGTGCACACCGACCAGGGCGCGACCTGCCTTCCAGTGTGCTCCAGCTCACTCCAGCCGTCGACTCCGTAGGGCAGGGACGAATGCCCCCAGGGGGCTGTTTCCAAGGCTTTCGACCTATGGGAACTCTCCTCTGAACGGCTGGTGAGTTCGGAGTGCTGACCTGGAGGCTAGCAGCCCAGCACAGTCCACCGAGAGCAGGTCTCTTACTGCCCGGGGCCTTTTCGCAACCCCCTCACCCCACCGGCGAATTAGTACCGTTTTATCTTATGGCCTCGCTCTTTACCATTGCAATGGAGCCCTGGGGTGCAAAGGTTAAGCTCTGGGCTATTAACTCAAGGATTAAATGGCTCTGGGGGGGAATAAAGACCAGCTGGGCGGTTGGCACCACCGTGAGGGGCCTCCACCTGCAGCTGAGGCCCTCAGTCTGAATCAATGGTAACACAGGTCTAGTTCGTTAGAGGTTTCTCCTCCACCACGCCAACCTCCCAACGCCTAAGCTTCTGGATCGTTAGTATTGAAAAATTTGTAAATGACCCTTCCGACTACCGGTAATTTATATTCCCTTTCACCTTGATCAATTTCCATTCCTGTTCCTAGGGGCCTCTGCGGCTATACTAAAATTATCTTTTTAATTTTCATTTCCTACCAACTTTGGGGGAGCCCCTTCATAGTCCATATTCTGGATTAAAGTTGTTTGCTTATCTGCTTTGAGTTGGAGCACTCCAGGTTTGGAATTTTCCTGGCGGGTGGGGAAGGTAAATCCAAGAACCCAGGGGTAGGAAAATTCCACCAAGGCCCCACAAGCAGCAGTACTGGCTGAGGAGCCACCGGAACATGAACTTCAGATCACGCGAACCAGCTTCCAGAGGGGCACAGTGTTTTTAGCATGTCACTCAGGGGACTTAAAACCTCAAAATTCTTAATGTTACGTGATGGCTCTCTAAAATTTTTGTTTGTTTCCCCTTGGTTAATTGAAGATATTTTACAGTAAAACATTCGAGAAACAAAAGTGAGGACCTGTTGCAAATATTTTGTACTAAAACAAGCAATTGAAAAATGGTTAAGATTGCACCCGACCAAAGGCAAAAAACTTGAGACACATAAAACAAGGTAATCCCTGTGTTTCCAATTCACTGTCTTTAGTGTCATTCCCCCACCCACTCCCTCCTCACTGCATCCTTACTATCCATTTCCCCTTCTCCTTCTTGAATTATTTCTCCTTTCCTTTCTTGACCACGGGGCTTTGGAGCCACCCCCCAAGAATGTGTTGAAAGGTCACTCAAATACACAGGGGAACTCTGCAGC